AGAAGAAGAATTTACATACGTTGGTAGCAGAGGAAAGTCGGTAATAGATTACGCAATAGGATGTCAAGAAGCGTTAGATCAGATTAAGGAAATGAAGATAGGACAAAGAACGGAATCAGATCATATGCCGCTAGAAGTATACCTAGAAAAGGAAGTAGAGGTGGGAATTGTAGAGAAAGAAGAGAGAACAAAGGCAAGGAGGGATTGGACTCAAGAATTGATTGATCAGTATGGAGAAAGGTGTAAAGACTGGGAGCGAAAGGGAAAAGAGATTGAAGAAAGATGGAGTGAATTGAAAGAAAAAATAGATAGGGCAGTACCTAAGGTGGAAAAACAGTGTGGAGTGTGGAAGATGGGGGATAAAAAATGGCACGATAAAGAATGGGAGAAGAAGAAGAATTTAAGAAGAATAATGAAAAGGTTAAGGAAAAAGAAAATAGAAAGAAGTTATTACATAGATAAAAAAAGAGAGTATAGGAACTGGTGTGAGGCAAAAAGGAAAAGGTTTGAAAGATTAGAAGAAGAAGAGATAAAAAATGCAACATCGGAAGGCGAAGTGTGGAAATGTATAAACAAGTACAGGAAAAAACGAAGGAGAGAAATATCTAAAAAGTTCACAGTAGAAGAGTGGAGAAAGTACTTTATGGAAAAGTTAGATGGAAAGAATGAAGAAGGAATTGCGAGGGAAGAGACAAGAAAGGATGAGGCAAGAACAAATGCAGTGGATCAGGAAGAAATGAGCAAGGAAGAGTTTGAGAGGCAGATAGCCAGATTAAAAGTAGGAAAAGCACCAGGAGAAGACAAGTTGGAAAATGAAGTGTGGAAGTACATGCCGGGAGAAGTGGATGAAGCTCTGTGGTAATTGCTGAAAATAGTATGGAAAAAAGGAGAATTACCGGATCAGTGGAGGCAAGGTACGATTTGTTTGATTCACAAAAAAGGTGATAAAGATATGTTAGAAAATTATAGAGGAGTTACATTGACATGTACAGCATTTAAGATTTATGCGAGTATGTTAAATGAGATGTTAAAAAGGAAATCGAAGGTAAATTATCAGAAAGCCAGTTTGGTTTTAGAGAAAAGAGAGGAGTAATAAAAGCTATATATATATTGAAACACATTGCTGAGGAAAAATTAAGCAAAGAAAGAGGAAAATTATTTACATGTTTTATTGATTTAAAGGAAGCATTTGATCGAGTGAATAGGAAAGTTTTAAAGGAAAGATTAATAGAAATGGAAGTGAGTGAAAAGCTAAGAAATAGGATTATAGATATTTATAAAGAAACGAGAAATGTAGTTAAAGTTGGAGAAGAGGAATCCAAGGAGTTTTGGACAAAGAAAGGTGTGAGGCAAGGCTGCCCACTGAGCCCGACGCTGTTTAACGTGTACTTAGCGGATCTGGAGCAGGAATTAAAGAAAGGGCAGGTGGGAGGATGCAGAGTTGGTAATGAAAAAGTATGGAGTCCATATTACGCGGATGAAATAGTATTAATAGCAGATAGAGAAGAAGAATTGAAAGAGATGTTAAAAAGATTCAAAAAGTACATAAATAAAAAGAAGATGATTTTAAGTGAGGAAAAAACGAAAATTTTAGTGTTCGAAAAAAGAAAGAGGAATGATAGAAGGTGGAAGTGGGGAAGTAAGGAATTAGAAGAAGTAAATGAAATAAGATATTTAGGATATATACTACAGAAAAATGGGAGAAACGATAGGCATATAGAAGAAAGGAAAAGGAAAGCAGTGATAGCTATGAAAAATGCGTGGAGCATAGGAGAAAGAATATTTAAGAATAGCTATAGAAGAAGAAGAAAATTATTTACAGCCCTAGTAGAAAGTATAGCGCTATTTGGTGCGGAAGTGTGGGGCTGGGAAGAAGAAGAAAGACTAGAAAGTGTACAGAGAAGATATATGAAATGGATATTAGGATTAGACAGCAATACACCAAATTATATAGTGGAGGAGGAGTGTAGATTAGAAAGGATGAGTATAAAAGCGTTAAGGAGAGCGTTAAAGTTTGAAGAGAAAATTAGGGAGTCAGACATAAAATTAGTAAAAGAATGCATAAGAGAAAAGGACAAGGACAAGGAAAGAGAGAGAATAGGAAAGGACTCAAAAAAGAGAGCTGAATTACTACGGCAAGAGAAAGTAAAAGAAACAAGATTTATGAAAGGAGTAGAATTTAGGGAGGAAGTAAGAGAAAAAATATTAATGAACAAGGAAAGAAAAGAAAAAGAGAAGAGAA